TGCTTTCTATAAGGTGGACTCTTTCTCGGGCTCTGATCATTCTCCACTGATTCTTAATGCTGCTCTTTACAGAAAATCTGTTTCTAGATTTATGTTTAAAGAATTTTGGACAAAGTTTGATGATTTTTGGGAGCTGACTCAGGAGGCTTTTGAGAGGCCTTTGTCTGCTAGCCCCATTGCTCATTTCTATGATTGCTTGAGGGATCTCAAAGGTAATATCCGTAGAAGAAGCTGGAACTCTTCCAATTTCATTTCCAATTGCATTCTTGAGCTTAAAAATTCTCATGCGGCTTGTATTTCTGATATTCAAAGAGATCCTTTAAACCCTTCATTTAACTTGAATTTTAAATCTACTTGTGATAAGTTAGCTCTCTTCCAATCTGCTTGGTACTCTTGGATTTCTCAAAGAGCTAAAGCCTATTGGCTTTCTCAAGGGGAGGATGACCTTGGATTTCTTTATGCCAAGATCAAATCTAGGAAGAATAGGAATGTTATTAAAGAGCTTTCTACTCCCAATGGGTTACTCTCTTCTCATGTTGACATTGCTGTGGCTCTTATTAATCATTTCAAGACCCTCTTCAATGCTCCCACTCCGCTTTTGGAAAATACCTATAACATTCCGGTTGGTAAGATGATTCCTGTCCACCTGATGGACAGTCTTGTGGCCCAGGTTACTGATGCGGAAATTAAAGGGGTGGTGTTTGCGGGGGTTGCTTCTTCTGCGCCGGGCCCTGATGGTTTTTCTTTCGCTTTCTATCAGAAAACTTGGCATCTTTCTGGCTTTAGTTTATGCAGAGCGGTTAAACATTTCTTCTCCTCTGGTGAGATGCCTAAAGGTGCCAAAGCCACTGCCATTACTCTGATTCCCAAGGGTACTCATTCAAATTCCATTTCTGATTTTCGTCCTATCTCTTTATGCAATGTGTTTTATAAAATTATTGCTAAGATTTTAGCTAATAGATTGAAAGCTATTCTTCCCTTTATCATCCATGAGAGCCAATCTGGTTTCATTGCTAAGAGATGTTCTACGGACAATATTATTCTTGCCTCCGAGCTGTTAAGAGAATTTAAAGGTCATAAAAAATATTTTTGTGCCAAGCTTGATATAAAAAAAGCTTTCGACTCTGTCTCTCGCACCTTCTTGATTAACAGGCTCAAGCAGAAGGGGTTCCCGGATATTTTCATTTCATGGATTAAGGGCTGCATTTGTGATGTCTTTTTCTCCATTTCTCTGAATGGTTCATTGGAGGGGTTTTTCAAATCATCTTCGGGTCTGAGGCAAGGCTGCCCTCTGTCCCCCCTCCTTTTCTGCATTGCCATGGATGCCTTATCTTCCATTTTGGATCTCACGGAGCACAGTTCTTTTACTGGGATGCATAATCATAACTTCAGTATTAGCCATCTTATGTATGCAGATGACCTTTTGGTTTTTGGTTCTGCTTCTGTGGAAAATGCTGGAACTCTTAAGGAGGCTCTCCTTTATTTCTCTAAGGCTTCTGGACTGACCATTAATCCTATCAAAAGTAGCATTCTATTTTCCAAGAATTCCACTCATAATCAACTTATTTCGGCCTGTCTTGGTATTTCTCAAGTGGAGTGCAATATATCTTATTTGGGGATCCCTATCTCCACTCACAGTCTTAAATTTCAGCACTTCCAACCGCTTTTGAGTAGAATTTATACCCTTCTTGAGGGTTGGAAAGTCAAATTTCTATCTTTTGCTGGCCGGATGCAATACCTTAAATTTACTATTGCTAGCACGATTGCGTACTGGATCAGAGGAGCGATTATACCAAAAGCTTGTTCTAAACTAATCTCTAGAATTTGCTCAAGATTTCTTTTCTTTGGGAATGTTGTGGATAAGAAAATGCATCTTATTTCTTGGAGGTCTGTCACTAAGCCAAAAATTAAAGGGGGACTGGGGCTGTCTTCTTTTGACTCTCTTTATCACAATATGGCTTGCTCTTTTATATTCAGGATGTACAACAATGCAACTTTAATTGGTTCTTGGTTTAGGGAGAAATTTGACTCTCCTTGGAAGCCTCCCCCTTTCAATGCCTCTAAATTCTGGAAACTTTTTTGCAAAACTGCTTCTTCCATTAGACCGGCTGTTTCTTTCTCGATTCACAGTAACTGTAACCTTTCGTTCTTGTGGGATCCTTGGTGTAATAATGGCACGGTTGCTGATATGACTGAGACCAACAGAAATTCCCATCTCTGGGTTAAGGACTTTATTTCAAATAGCCGTTGGGTGCTACCTGATTCTTTACCTGGGCCGGTGAAAGACACTATTAGTAATACTGTTATTGTTGGTGAGGGGCCGGTGCTTTCCTGGTCTAGCTGCCCCAACCCCTCTAACAAAATTTTCTCTGCTTTTTACCATTCTAACTTGGAGAACGTCCCGTGGTTTAAATTCATTTGGCACAAAGGCTTTGCCTTACGTTATGCCTCCTATTCTTGGATGGCTGTTAAAGGTAAACTTAAATTGGCGGATATTCTCATTTCTAGGGGAATTGCGGTTACCCCCTCCTGCTCCTTCTGTATGGGAAACTTAGAATCACATTCACATGTGTTTTTTGAATGTGATTACTCTTTTCTTTTGCTTACTGCTCTTTTTCCGGATATGGTGAATTTTTACTTGAGGCCTAATATTATTCAAGTTTTTGATCATGTTGGGACCATCCGAAAGTATTCCAATGCAGATAAGAATTTCTGTTATTTCACGGTGGCTGTTTTGGTGTATTACTTGTGGAGAGAAAGGAACAATAGACGGTTCTCTGGTGTTTGGAGAAATCCTGATGAACTTAAAAGAGTCATTTTGCAAGCTATCTGTGCTAAAGTTAGGAATTGGAATCATTATGACTTGCTTATGGAAAATTTTGGGCATTTACTGGGCTGATCCTCTCTGGGTGGTCGGCTGGATAATTTTTTGGATGGCCGTTGGTTTCTTTTCCAGTTTTACTTTGATCCCTATTTGGGATGTTTTGGGCTGCTGTAAGCCTCAGATTCTTTTTGCTGGCAATTTTTGGCATCCGAGCCATTTTCCTGAAGCCCTGGTGGTTTTTCTCCCCCGGTCTCTTCTTTTGCTGCTTCGTAGGGATGCTTGCAGAATCGAGACGATGATGTGTCAGATCTACATCTTCATGCATCCTTGGATGGTCTTATGGCAACCAGGAATGCTTTATTTGGGCACTGTGATGGCCCTTCATTCGGTTTTTGGTGGGCAATCGGTGCCTATCTGCGGCTTCGTGGATTTCCGTTAGTGCTTGGCGTTGATGCCTTTGATGTAGATCAATTTTCCTGAGTCCTTCTATTCTGCATTTCTTATTTTCATTGTTTTCTTTTCTTCCATTGGTGGTATAGGTTTCCTTTACTTGTAATTGATTTTACTTGTAACTTTTGGTGATTAATTGAAAGGGCTTTGCCCCCATTTTTCCCAAAAAAAAAACTCCCTATCACTAGAATCGATGATGTCTCCAATCACATAGCTGTTGAAAATCGAAGCCATCTCTCATGAGAGTTTGCTAGGCCTTGTAAAGTCTTGTAAGCACGGACAGCGACTCCAAACATTCCTTTTAGAGAAAGCCGAAAGCTACACGCGAAGAATTTCTTCTCAAGCCATGAAAGCCTTTAACGCATTTGTACAACGCGAGTAAAGGAGGACATATCAGGCATATACGTATTAAGACTAAGGTTTCGTTTTTGACGAGTTTTTATTGTTTTTTAAAATAATTTCAAACTATAAAAATTTTAATTTTTCATTAAAAAGTTATTTTAAGATGAATAGAAAAAACCGTCACAAATCGGAATTTTTATTTGGTCCGGTGAACGTACATAGAGCTACGTTCGGCCGGAACTGAGATCGCGCCACGTAGCAGGCACAAAAAGAGAAATACCGAGCAAATACCGAGCAATACTAACAATAACGATAAATATTATTATGTGAAGATAAAATACCGAGCAATACCGAGTAATACTGAGTAATATCAAAAAAAAACTCGGTATTTTTTGGTATTACTCGGTATTGGTCTTCACAAAGTAGTATTTCTCGTTATTGACAAGCAATACCGAGCAAAAACTGCGTAACTCAGTGGTGACCGAACGTAGAGCTACGTCCGATCAGAGGACCTAATAAAAGTTCCCCAAATGAAGGCTAAATTGCACTCAGAGGAAAATTTCTAAATAAGCCAAAGTAGAGCGAGCTCAATGCTTTTAGACTCAACTTATTGTTTAGACAAATGAGTCAAACTTTTCATTATTATTCAAACTTTTAGCTTATTGAGTTTATCACATAGCTATTCATGAATATATCATAAAATATACAAGTTGTCACTTTTTATATATAAGGTAGGGTTTATAGTGGTGCAAAAGAGTCAGAGCTAAGCTCGAGTAACCCCTAACTTTAGGTGTAGATTGAGCTTGATTAATTAATTGAGTTTGAGTCTAAGCTTAGTTCTTTGAGTTCATGCTTGAATATTTATAATGAAATAGAGAAAAAAATCCTAATTCAAGCAAAAATAAAAATAGTGAGCTATTTATCAAGCCAGCTCATGAGTATTCTTAACTAACTTATTACACTCCTATACATAATATACATAACCATAATTAAACTACTATGGAGGTAAACAAGCTTTTCTAAATAAATAAACTTTATTAAAAGCCTTAATAGCAAATACTATGAGAGGTGGAAACAAGTTACTATACAGCAGCTACTACTCGCTCGATGCAGAACAATAAAGATTAATAACAGTATACCCGAATCTCTTACTTCAAGCCTCGAAGAACCCAAGAGGAAGATGCACCGTGGAAGAATATGAAACGAGGTGGGAGGCCCATCTCTAACAGGCCTTAATTAATTAGCTTAAATGCGCTTCAAATTACAAACTGAATAGCTCCCATTATTTCGTAACGGCCATATAGGATAAGAATGCGGATGGTTTAGTTAGTTTTATTTCCCCACCACTTCTCTACATCCCCCACTCTTCACAAACCATACAAGCATGACCGAAGCTGCTGCAAAATCCATTAATTCTACAGCTGCGATGGCGCTCAGACTCATCGCCGCTATCTGTCTTCTTCCGGCCACCATATCAGCCGCCGGCGGTGGTTCCATTTTCCATGCCAACTCCTCTGTTTTCGATCAATGGAGCTCAGATAGCGTCGATGATTTTCACTTTAGAAAGGATGAGATTGCCAGAGGCATCAACACGGGCATTGACCTGCAGCTCCTTTGGGCTGAGAAAAACCTGCGGGTTGTAACTGTGAGGAAGAATGGGCAGGGGGATTTCGCAACAATTTCTGATGCAATTGAAAGCATACCTCATAGGAACAGGCAAAGAGTTGTGATCAGGATTGGGCCAGGTGTTTACAGGGAGAAAGTGAAGATTGAAAGTTCGAAACCATTTGTGACATTTTCAGGCGAGGAGAATGCAATGCCTACAATAACTTATGCCGGCACGGCGGCAGAGTATGGCACTTTGGACAGTGCTTCTGTAATTGTGGAATCGCGTTATTTTGTTGCGAGTAATATTATTTTTCAGGTAATTAGAAGCTTAATGAGGTTGGTTAATTATTAAAAAAGGAAAATTTATACAAATGCTTAAATCCTTCTAATAAAAATTGGTTTTTTCATAGAATTCAGCACCAAGGCCGGTTTTGGGAGTGAAAGGAGCTCAGGCGGTGGCGATGAGGATCTCTGGGGATAAGGCAGCTTTTTACAGCTGCAAATTCTTGGGATATCAAGACACCCTTTGCGATGACAAAGGAAGACACTTGTTCAAGGATTGTTTCATTCAAGGGACTGTTGATTTCATATTCGGTAATGGAAGGTCTATCTACCTGGTAAATTCTAAGCCTCCAAATATTTCATTTTTTTAATATTTTTACTATCCAGGTAATAAGATATTTGAACCAATTGCTTTTCATTGCTATTTCATTGAATGGAAATTTTGAAATTTAGCTTGTTTATTCAGTTCTGATATACTGAGCATCAAAAATACATTATTAGTATTATTAACAAGGTGATTCGTATCTGAAAAAAAAAAGGATTTTAACGTAATTATTAATCGAGCTTTCTCAAAATTTTAATTTTAATTTTAAGAAGTGCTGTATTTCAAAAAATAGTTCTATTAGCAATCTAAAAGTAAATCTTCTCCCTTTGCTTCCAAAATTTCAGTCGAGTAAGGAAGAACATAGTTGCTAACCCATCAAATATGATTGCATAAGAAGTTTAGAAACTAGATTAACTTCATTAAATTCAGAACTGCGTGATAAAATCAGTGGCGGATGGGATCACTTACATCACAGCACAGGCGAGATCAACCATTGCAGACAAGAGCGGCTTCGCTTTTGTCCACTGCAACGTAACCGGCACAGGTAGCGCATATCTGAGCAGGGCGTGGAAGAAGAGCTCAAGAGTAGTCTTTGCTTACACTTACATGAACAGCGTGGTTAATCCCCAAGGTTGGGATGATAGTGGCTTCAAGGAACGACAGGGGTAAGCTTCATTCTCTTTGCTTTGTGTTTAACTGTTTGGCTTAACTTCTAGACTAAAGCGAGCTGGCTAATGTTCCAGATAAGAAATACTTGAAGTGGATCTAAATGCTTAATTTCCTTTTTTTTTTCTTTTTTGCTTATATATATAGGACTGTCTTCTACGGTGAATACAAGTGTTTGGGGCCGGGCGCATCTACGAGCAAAAGAGTCAGTTATGTTAAGCTACTAACAGATGAGCAGGCAAAGCCCTTCCTGAGCATGACTTTTATCAGGGGAAAGACTTGGGTTCTTCGGCAGCCTCAGCTTTAAAGCTCAAGTTTTCTGATATGAATGACGATGCTTGGTTTAATGGGTTTTTTTTTTTTTTATTTTTTTTTATTTTTAGTCTTTTGTCTCGGTGTCCTTGACAAATTGTAATTTTTTGTTCTCTTTGGCTCAACTCTGTAACCTGATTCTATATTTATTTCAACTGAATTCCGGCTCTCAATTTTCTAGTAAATAATTACGATGCTTATAATAAATTTCATTTTGCACTTCAGAGAAAAAAAATGGGGAATTTAACAAGCATGTACATTTTTTTTTAACAAAAAATTATTATATTCCAACAACGAAAGAGGATACAACCAAGAGAAAAGAAAGATTTCACAACCAAAATAAGAAAAGACGGTAGCTAGTCAGGCTCAGAAATTGGCACAAAATTTCCTGCAACCGTCTAGATGCCAGGCTTGAACCATCCTGAGGCAGAAGCGAGCAAACACCCACCAAGAAGCAAATGAGAGAAGTAGCAACATCTCAAACAGGCTACCAAATTTAGTGCTTTGTGATTTAATTCATGCAAATATGTGCTTCCAATTTGTTGCTTATACTTACGATTTAAGGCTGTGATTATCGAGAAAATAGAGAAGAAGAGAGGCAGGCACTTGTCCGGTTATCTGTATATGTTCATTAATCTATTTATCAAAGTTACATTTCGACTCTTCCCTATTTTGTCTACTAATTAACCCCATGTACTTGTTTTATTGAACTTGTACTAAAATTTTTTGGGCACCAATTTTATGGCTAATCCAGCATATATTTCGTCCACATAAGGACAGGGTTCCTCCGGTAAGAGGTTAAACAAATAGTATAATAACTGATTATATTCTTGATTCCTCCGGGCTTCGCCGTATTCTTTCGACCCTGCCGTAATATGGTATCGAGGAAAGAATAATTGTTGCCCACACTCCTCCGTCTCATGGGGTCAAGAGATTTGGGTATCGATGACCCCTTCAACTCTATTATCTGCACCATTCCAGCAGCTTGGGAATTTCTTTGGTCCTTGTGGCAACTATACGTCCTGGAGCTAGTAGGAGTGTCAATATTTGATACGACATGAAAATCCGACTCGAACCCGATCAAAAAATTTTAGGTTAGACTCAAACCGATTTCAAAATAGGTCGGGTTCGGGTTCCCAAATTTGACCCGTTTGAAAAAATGAGTCGGGTTTGGGTTGCAAGGTCAACCCCAAAACCTGTTTGAAATGAGCAGACCGCGCTACCGGCGCGCCCTCCCGAGCTGCCCGCACCGCTCCGGAAGCTTCCTGCGGCTGCCCGCACGCCAGGATAAGGCTGCCCGCACCTGCCAGAGCCCTCTCGCGCGCTCGCCTGAAGCTGGTCTCTCCCGCCCATGTTTGCCCGAGGCAGCCCGCTCCAACCCGCACGCGCCAACTCCAGTTCCCGCTCGCCACTCGCACTCGCACCACGCGTCCGCGCCAACCTGCCCGTCTGGGTCCCTCCATCGATGTCCTCAGAGGCAAAATGTGTCGAGTCAAGTCAACCCTAACCCGACAAGTTGAGTCCGAGTCCTCATTTCTTGACAAGTCTTAACATAAGCGGAGTCAGGTTAAGATTAACCCGTTTGACCCAAGCTGTTTTCATGTTTGACCCCAAACCCGATCCCAAAAATCCGCGTTTTGACACCCCTACCTGGAAAGATCAAAACTCAGCTTTAGTAATACAATTCATTCATCAAACTGAACATATATTATGCTTATTCTTGGACAGGAATCAGGAACAACAATGTACAATTACCGGAAGTATATGGGTGTCAATATTTGACACGCACACGGGAAAACCCGACCCGAAAATCCGCGTTGACCCGACCCGATTTTCCAAAACGGGCGGTTGGTTTTTTTTTCGTGGTTCACCCGGATTTTGACCTGTTTGAAACGGCGTCGGGTTCGGCGTTGACCCGACACGTTGGCGGAGTCAACCTTGAACCCAACTTAGAAAGAGCTGCCTGAGGCTTGCCCGCTGTCCACGCCCATCTACCACGACCGCTGCCCGCGCCCCCTGCCCGCACGCTGCCCGCTCGAGAGTCTTGCCCGCGCTGCCCGCTCGCGAGTCGTGCCCGCACGAGAGTCTCGCCCGCACTGCCCGCGACCCCGCACATGCCCACCCTGCGCGCATGCGCGCGCCATCCCTCGCGCTAGCCACCCCGCGCTCGCCGCGCGCCCTGCCTGCATCCGCCACGTACCCACCTACCACGCGCCTGAGTCCTCCACGCGCGCGAGTCCGCCATGCACCCCGCGTCCGCCCTCCTAAGCGTCCCATGTCGGGTCGGGTCAACCCGACAACCCGACGAGTCAGGTCCGGGTCCGTGTTTTCGACCCGTTTGCCTACCCGGATATGGTTAGGGTCGACCCGATTGAATCCGGAACCCGGATCAATTCCGGGTCCGACCCGAACCCGACCCGTGACCCGAAATTGACACCCCTACTCGGATATTAAATTCTGTATCCAAAGAAATTTACACAACCAACATTAACCCGAAAACCACTTACAAGATCTGGAAAAATCTCAAAGATCGATTCTAGCAGAATAATGGCTGGAAAATCTTTCAACTGCATCACGAATTAATTAATCTCAAACTAGCTCAAAATTCTGTTAACAACTTCAACAACTTCTTCCCTGAGATGAGGCAGCGAACGATGTCGCTTTCAATGTCAACAATGAAAACAACTTCCTGCACTTACTGCAATTTCACAGGGCATACTAAAGACAAATGTTCTAAATTACATGGTTATTTGCTCGAGTACAAGCAAAGACAATAAAATATATCCAAGAATCAATCAACCACTATTAACCAAACTCTGCCGACGACAACCATAGTCAATAAAGATGAAGGTTTCTTTCAAAGTTACACAAGAACCCGTAGTAGCAATGTTATTGAACCATCTTTGCTCCATCACAAAAAGTTAGTGATAGTTCCTCGAACATCACAGGTGCCTGCCTCTCTTCTTCTCTAATTTCTCGATAATCACCATCCAAAATTTGGTTTTCGAATCACATGATATACAGTTTTAATTCTTAAATTTGAATTACAGAATCGGGCAAAAAAATAAGACTTAAAGAAGCAGCATCGATGAACAAACCATTTCATTAGTTTTCCAATAGAACAATGCGTGATGACGTTAACAAGATGGTTCTGGGAAAGCACCAAAGTTCTTCATGTAGATATCAAAACAGTACCAAACGATTCAATATTGATTGCTTGCTCCCCCTTCGTCACCTCATACGGTGAAGGAAGAATAGACTACATAGTTAAAATTAAAATGAACGATTCTAAGCAGAAATCTCAGTGTCCTTGGAAGAGAGATCGTGCTTCGTTGATGATTTCTGTTTTCTGGCATTCCTCCGATTGCCTCCCCTGCCACCTGAAGACTGTGTTCCCTCGTTGGACTGTCACCACAATACATAATTCACATAAGACTAACCAGCATCAAATGCAATTTATTCAGAATTTTAAGCACCGAAATGGGAATTTGGAAAACTATTAAGAAAGATACGAAAATGTAAATTGTTACAAATAGATTATCTACTTTACTTTTTTTTTTTTTTAATTTTCACATATCACCTTTCGCTTGTAATATCATTTACTTCACTATGCCAGCATCAGAAATTGCAAAAGTAATTACAAAGAATACAAGCCTCGCACTGGAGAAATTATTCTTTGCAGATACCAAACGCAGCTCTACATCCAGAAACCAAACAGAATGAACCACATCAGCATTACCGAGCACGGTACCGAGCCGCGGTACCGACGTGGCTCTCCTGACGGCATTCGACATCCGCACAGAATAATCTCTCGTTAGACAATATAAAATGGATAAATGTGCTCGTAAGCTCAAATAAAATGCAAAGCACTTCAGCTAACTTTAATCCAAAAGGAAAATTTCTAATACACTTCTAAACATAAAATATTATTTTAATTATAAAAATATCCCACCTACAATTCGAATTAAGCCAGGTTGGTTAGAAAATCAAATGTCAACCCAAATTTTTAAAAAGTTTAAACAAAATAAAATCAAATTGATACGGGTCAACCCAAGCTTTCACTTAAAAAAATTGCCAGCAATCAAATTATTCATTAGGCCGGTCCAATCCGGTAGGGAGATACGTCGACATCTGCCTAAGTTTGACCATACCTGCTCCTATTCGTTGATTTTGATCTGGACTGCAAAGTGTTTTTTTTTTTTTTAATTACTTGAGATAAGTGTAAAGAAAAAAATTTACATCAAACTTTATATAATAAGAGTACATAGATCATTCATCCGTATAATATTAAATTTCTAAGCACAATTTGCAATGAAAAGCCAAGAAGGTCTACATGCTATAACGAAAAGAACTTCCAGACAAATGAGAATTGTCATCTTTTTATTAAACAAATAGCAAATGGTGGAAAGAGTAAAATCAGTGTACAAAGCAAACCGGCAACTGGTCGCTTTCCTTAACACGCCAATTCTCAACTTGTATTAAAAACACAAAAAAAATTGGATGAGCGGATAACTATTGAAGACAGAGTTATGTTTTCTAAAAAAAACAAAGATAATCACAATAAAGTCGCAAACTAACACCAAAAAATTGATGAGCACAACATAAAATATTCGGCAAAACATATTGATTAATATTTTTGATACTAAAGGTCATTGGGTTATATTGGGTATATTGGTGCCAATTGTATATTGATGCGCTTTTATTTGATGATGTGACCTAAAAATATGAGCCTTTGTTTGTTTCAATGACCCAATGATGCAGCCCGCTTGGGTTCAATGATGCAGCCCGCTTGGATCTAGTGATTAGTTGTTTTAGCTACAAGGTCTCAAATTCAATGGTAGAATGCGTGAATTTATGATTAAATTTACTTAAAAGGGCCAAAAAAATAAAATGCGCCTTAATAATTTCTATGCATTCAGAGTTGGATAAAACTACGACACTTTTGCATCCCTATCATTATATCACATCAAGATTCATAAATATCATCCATTCAATTCAAAGAATTCTTTTACCCCAATATATATAATTAGCATCTTTTTTTTTTTGGCTATTTGCGTGCATGAAATAAGACTATGGTAAAAAGATGGTGTCTTTCTAGAATCTCAATTGGTTAAAAGCCATTTATTAGCATATTAAGGCTTCGTTTGGGACGGCTTTCTTAATTTTTTGTAAGCTATTTTTAATACAAAAATCTCTCGAAAATAGAGAAGAAGCAGTGGTCTAAAACTGTCCCGAACAAAGATTAAATTTGATGTCATATGTAGAAAATCATTCCACCCTCACCAATCAACTAAACATTGATGTCAAATTTGAGTGCAAGATTTACTAACAACTTCTATCTAAACACCTTATGGAATGGCTAGCAATGTATTACTCAAAATATTGAGGGATCCTCATTCTTTTTTGCAAAATCATATTGTAATCCAGTATGATATAATTGGACTTCAATTCTTCCACTTATAATGAGAAATCTTTACTTCCCCCTTGGACTTTCACAAGGTATCTCCCCTTTTCTTAATCGTCCTCTTCCCCGTGCATTCGAAATTTTTACCATTAAGACTTATAATATCTCAATTGATCCTCAAAACATTTTAATCACAATAGTTGGACTTGGACTCTTTCACTTATAATAAGGCATCTCCACTTCTCCTACCAGACTTTCACAAGGCATATCTCCTTTAACACATTATTCTAAGTAATCTTATTCCTCATATATATAAGATTTCTACTATTGAGACTTCTAATGTCTTTACTGATCCTTACAAGTATTCTAATCACAGTAGGACCATCACATACATTCAACATGGTCAATTTTTGCAAGTTTTCCATGTTACACTGTTGGGATATGCTCAACAATTATATTCCCTCCCTCATGAGTATGATAATGCCTTAGTTGAACTAGCTAAGCTCTTTATAGACTAGTTTATGTGGCTATTGAGGCTCACCAACAATGATTCTCTCATATAGCTCAAATTAAGGAATGGATTGTCAAATCTTTAGAAGGTGCATTCTCAATGGATCCTTGAAGTCATGTGGCTTAATTCTCTGCCCATATATTGAAAATAAAGGACCAAAATGCTATTGATCAAGGAGCATTTCATTCAACCATAATCTCAAATATGAGATAACACATTTATCAATCATAAATTCCACCAAAAATAGAAAATGCCCTTACCGTATAGCTCATATGCACTGCTACAGGGAGCTAAACTTGATTCATAACCCCATTTCATTATCTGAAGGAAGCTCTGTCGTGCCTCTTTCAAATTTTCTTTTGCCTTAGAGCTGAAATACATCTTATGCATCAAAGTATCTTCCTAGGTGATAACTTCTCGAGGCAAAGTCATCAATTCTTGAATATGTATGCAGGAAATAAGTCCAAGCAAATATTGTATTCCAAGACTCTCAACCGGCTTAAATGAAGAAAGTAATGTCATCATGCAATAAAAATTGTAATGATATTAATATATTGTCACAAATAAAAGTATTTGTCTTATTTTTTAAACATACAAGATTTTAATACAAACAAAAAAAAAGAGCCCCAGAAAAATCAACAACAAAAGTTTTCAAAATCTGAATACTTTCCAAATTACAACTAATGTAATGCCTTTACACCTACAAAATTCAAAAAACTATTTAACACATAATAAAAAAAATGAGCAAATTATATGCTTGTTAATTATTTTTAATGTGTTAAGCATTAATCTTGAAAAAAAAATTACAATTGTGAGAACAACTTATCCCCAATTGCACAAACTTTTACAGGTCAAGTCAGTGTTAGCCTTTTTACAAAAAGAAGATTAGATAAGCATATAATATTAAACGGATAAAAGCAGTTACTACACCTTTTCTAAGCCCCAATATTACGCAACATATCTTGGTCTATTGGTTGCTTTGGCTACCAAGCAAAAGGTCTTTCGTTCGAGTCTTGCGCAACATATCTTCAGTTTGACTTAGGATTCGTTTGAGATGGCTTTCTTACCAAAATTTTAATTTTTTACTAAAAAAACTGCTTTAAAAAGTGGTAAGAAAAGCCATTCAAAACAAAGTCTTAATTGATCTAAAGGTCCCAAAAATAAAATATATAGTATTCTAAACAAAATTCAACAAAAAAGATCAACATGGACTAACCACATATAACATTTCACTTTCTACGCGGTCCCAACTTGGCAAATGGCAATTTGGCAAGCGATGCTTCTTGCAATAGAATACTTCTTGGCCTTAGCGAGTTAAAAAAATAATCAAATTTAATAGAACAAAAGCAAAAGCGTAAAGGAAACGTCAAAGCGTCAGGCAACTCAGTTTTGGCCCACTCAACCAAAAAGCGAGCAGAAACTCAATAAGTTAAAAGAAATTACGCATTTTTTGTTGATTGTTAACTTCCAACTAATCTCCAAATTTATATATGCAGTGAGTAAATTCATGTTAATTCGCTTAAAAAATTAATTAAAAAAACAAGAGAAATACATTAAAATACTCAGTCAGATGCCTTTACATTCCTCTTTTAAAATTTTTTAACATAACCATTTGCTGCAACTTGTTGAAAAAAATTGTAGTTTTCTTAATGATGTGTTAATCATAATTTCATTAAAAGTGTAAATGAAAATACATACAACTTGCTAAAGCTAGGGATGTAAATGAGTCGGGTCGAGCCCGAGTCAACTTTCTTGAGATTAAGGTCGAGCTTGTGCTTAACTTTACAAGTTCAAGTTGGGATCATTTATCATAAAAGAAATAATCATTCTTATTCAAATAGCTACTACAAAATATAATAAAAAAAAGAAATTACTTGAAATAATAAAAAGAGAAATAAATTCTAAATTTTTAACAATTTTACACTAAACTTAATGAATGGTCATCTATTTTATAACATTTTTTTTAAAAGTCGGCTCACAAGCTAATAAGTTGAGTTAAGGCTAACTCAAGCTTGATTTGTCAGATCATTGAGTTCGACTCATAAACTATTTATCAAGTCGAGCTAGAGCCAGCTCACAAGTCAACTTACTCGTATTGGAGCATAATAACACCTAACCTAATTGCAATTAGTACTCAATTTCCACCTTAAAAAAAAAAAAAACTATAGCCACTTTGCATCTATAATTCTTAAAAAGTGATTATTACTTATGTGAATAAATAATTATTACTAAAAATCACTATTTGGCTATGTTTCATATTAGAGTTATGATTAACATTTTTAATCACAGTTAATAATTATACATTTTTTATATAAAAAAATAATATTTCAAATCATTTATATTTGATATAAATATCTTTAAATTTATCTACATAATTATTATAAATGTTTTTATACATTTCTTATAAATATTGAATAAAATTTCAAAAATATAATTGCTACAAGAAAAAACTCACCCCGAAGCAGAAATGAGCAGATTCGCCGTCGAACTCTTGGAGCTTTGCCTTGCCGGCAGCCGAGGCCAGCACCGATCCGGGACGTTTTTCTCCGCCGCCGCAGTGAACTGCGCCGGCGTTGCAATACCTAGTACTAGAGGAAGCCGCCTCCGTCGTCTTTGCATCAGGAGCAGGGCCGCAGCTGAATCCGCTGAGATCAAGGTCAGCCTGAAACATATCCACAAACAGCTTCTGTAGATCCTCAAAGCTATCCTGGCCATTCTCCTGCAAGCAAACGCCATGAGGATTATAATGCGAGCTCTAATGGTTGCGATCAGAAATAATTTTTTATTTTTTCCATTTTGTGCATTCTTACGCTGGGCTTCGTCTGGCTCATCATCTGAACCAACTCTTCTACAAAGTCCCCCATTCCCTGTAGCATAAACAGGGGGAAATTTCCCAGTTTTAAAGCAGAGTAAAAAAAAAAACCTATTTCAAATAAGAGGAAAACAGTAATATAAGACGTTACGGTCGCAATTAACGGGAAAAAACTTACGTTTTCGTCATCGTCGCTTTCATAAACTCCTACGTCGTACAGGAATCTCTTATTGGAGTCAGATAGAACTGAATACAGCACAGACGCACTTATTTAGTTTTAAATTTGTTTAATAATAATTGACTTTCGTAAACTAGTAAAGAGAAAATGGAATCAGGGAACACCAAACTGGAATAAGCTTCTTGGATTTCCTGGAATTTTTCTTTCGCTTCGTTGACAAACTCCGATTTTCCTGCCGCCGAGCAACGATCGGGATGCCATCTCTTTTATCAGGAAATCAACAACGACAAGACCAAATCAGAAGTAGAGAAAGTGAATTTTCGAAATCAAAAACAAAGTTTCAATTTTGCAACAAGATAAGAGATGTAGTGCCAAAGAATAAAAAATTGCATTTTTTTTCACCGAAAAACTTCAAATATAAACCGAGAAATCCGATCTGAAAAGTCGAAAAAGAATTTCACAAAACCAAACGTAAGACTTAAAATTAGGAGGAAGAAGAAGAAGAAGAAGAAGAAATAAAGAGAAAATAGTAAAAGCCAGATTCGTTAAATCGTTGGATTCTTACCAGAGCAAGCTTCTTGTACGCATTCCGGAGTTCGGCGTCGGAGCACTCCTTGTTGAGACCCAGAACAGAATAGAAGTCGCCGTTCTTCTCGCCGGCGGCGGCCATTTCTCGCAAGAGGATTTCCTTGAAGGTCTCCAACTACAGAAAAAACTGAAAAAATATAAAATCTTGTATGGAGAGAATTTTAGGCAAAGCCTTACATCTTAGACACGTAACCCCTTCGAGTTCGCGAGAAGGGAGCAGTTAGAAGAAGAGGAAGAGGGGTGGAGGTTCTCGACAAGAAAACCAAGTGGCCTCCACCCCCAGGAACTCTCCAGAAACAAGTCCCTCTCCCTCCTCATCACATTTATCCGCGTTTTACGTTAAAATAAACTAAAAGAAAGTACTATATTGGGAAAAAAATTTAATCATAATATTTTAATTAAACTTTAATTAATAGTATTAAATTAAGATGAATCCGTTAATTTTGATGGTGAGTAAATTTAAGTAAAATATTCTTTTTTTTATTATTATTTTATAACGACGCAAATGGTAAGATAGTAAATATTAGGACAAATTTCAAATTTAAGGTGTTAATTTAAAAAAAAAAAAACTCTCTACTAACCGTTTAATATCTCTTACCTTATTAACTAATTGTATATTTTCCTTTCTATATAAACCCCAAAATCCCCCACCTTAACTAAAAAGGTTCGCTCTATTAATTACTGAATATAACAAGAATTTAAAGGAATATTATAATTTTAAATATTTTTATTCATTTTTAATTAATAAATTATTAAATGGTTTTATAATATATTTAAAAAATTTAGACGAATTTTTATA